ACAGCTGTGCAGGCTCCCCATGCTGGGGACTTCCTTTTAGCAGTCCCTTTGTCTGCGACAGGCACACGTCTTGATCCGCAGGAGCTCCGTATTGTAGTCACTCTCTGCCTTGCTGCCCCTATCCACACTGTTCATAGGTGTATTTTCGGCGAGGCAGATGCTGACGAACATGGATTGCATGGCCTGCACTGTCGAAAATCAAGCGGTTGGCACTCACGACTCGACGAAGTCAATGACATCATTAAGAGGAGCCATGTATCTGCCCACCCAGTGTCCAGCAAAGAGAGAGCCTCGCAATCTATTAAATCATAACTCTGTTAGCTTTCCTGGCTGGCCACATGGAAACGCACTGTGCCCTTTGAAAAATGGCAGACAATTGGCGTGGGACTATACTTGCGTAACCACCCTGGCAGCCACATACATCAACCTCTCTGTTGGCCAAGCAGGAGCCGCGGCGACACACAGAAAAAGAGACAAGTCAACCAAGTACAGGGAAATAGAACACCAGTACAACTTCGTTCGAATAGAATCTGAGACCCTTGGTCCATAGGGGAGAGAGTGCAAGAAAGGTTCTTAAGTATCATGTTTCCAGGCTCATTGACTCTACAAGAGACCCTAGAGCGACACGTTTTCTCTTCCAGCGCCTCAGTGTGGCGATCCAGAGGGGGAATGCCAGCAAGTCTTCCCAGAACCCCATCAAGCAGGTATCAAGCAGTGATGTAGCAGGTCTACAGGACAGAATACAACAACTAGTCAGCAGAAAAAGCAGGGATCCTTCCTCCCTGCTGGATCCAAGATATTATTAAGGAATTATTATCACAGAGAGATGACCTCTTGACAAGAATTTCCAATCCTTTCCCGATCAGATCCCTCTGACACGTACTCACCTAGCTGTTGTGCTTGCGGGGGTTGAGCTCTGGCTCTTTGGTCCCGCCTCTCAACCGTACCGTGTTGCATTCAAAGTGATGTTGATCCACACACTTGCCTGCATCTGCCCTTGCAAAGGCTCTGCAACTCTCTCTAGTTATGACAGTTGAACTACTGTCATAACATGAACTATATATGACATGTCATATGAAGTTCATGTTAACGCATCTTATTACTTTTGTCTGCTCTGGTCGGCCTAGTGGACAGCACGCTGGACTTGTGATCCTGTGGTCCTGGGTTCGATCCCTGGCGCCCGCGAGAAACAATGGGCAGAGTTTCTTTCACCCTATGCACTGTTACCTAGCAGTAAAATAGGTACCTGGGTGTTAGCCAGCTGTCACGGGCTGCTTCCTGGGGGTGGAGGCCTGGTCGAGGACCGGGCCGCGGGGACACTATAAAAGCCCCGAAATCATCAAGATAACCTCAAGATAACCTCTCAATTATGTTAGTTATGTCTAATCATTCATACAAGTTTCTCATAATATTAGCATATTGGACAGAAATTATTTGGGTATTATTTTTGTGCATTGGTTGAGTGTCGTGGCCGACAGGGCGCTGTCCTTGTTATAATTCAATTTATAATTAACAATTATAATTACACACAGAAATCACAATAGCGTGATGCATCAAATTAATAAATCCACAAGGGCCGTGACGAGGATTCGAACCTGCGTCCGAGAGCATCCCAGACGTTCAGTCGATAAAGGCAGCGTCTAGGATGCTCTCGGACGCAGGTTCGAATCTTCGTCACGGCCCTTGTGAATTTGTTCAACAATTATAATGTTAATTATATTGTTATAATTATTAAATTTAAAAGAATTATATTTTAATGATCAGTTTTAGGCTGTTAACCTTTCTTAAAGAAATGTGTAATGTGTCCCCAGCATCAAGAAACTATCGTACTAAAGTGCCCTTATCCTAACCTACCAGAGGACCCACCAACAGAAAACGGGACAGTATGTCAATTTTTCGCTTGCCGCTTCCCATTTTCTAGCGCGACAGTTCTGGGGCCAGATTTACGAAAGCACTTAAGCAAACACTTACGAACCTGTACATCTTTTCTCAATCTTTGGCGTCTTTGTTTACAATTATTTAACAGTTAATGAGCTCCGAAGCACCAGGAGGCTGTTTATAACAGTAACAACAGTTGATTGGGAAGTTTTCATGCATGTAAACTGTTTAATAAATGTAACCAAAGCCGCCAAAGATTGAGGAAAGATGGACACGTTCGTAAGTGCTTGCGTAACTGCTTCGTGAATCTGGCCCCTTGACCTTAGGTAGACTAAACGTCAAAATGCGACGTGCTATTAGCAGGACGGGTTAGACAGAGCATGTAGTGAGCAGGACGGGTCAGTGAGACGGCAGGAATCATTATTAACTGTATTCACAGACATGATAAAGTACATCACTTTACCACAAGTGAACTACACTGAAAAAAAATAAGTTGTAGAAGCCACCTCCATCCACAACTTGAAAGGCCGGACACTACAAAACAAAATCGAAGTTGAGAATAGTTGAACTTGCATCATAATAGGCACAACATGGGCAGTAGGCGGGACCTGAAGAGCTAAAGCTCATTTCTCAGTAATCACTGATAGATAAGTACTGATAGACTGACGCCTATAGCCCGGGACCCAGGAGCTAGAGCCCAGATGACGCCAACACACACACACACACACACACACACACACACACACACACACACACACACACACACACACTGGGAAAGGCTCATTAACAATGTAGTCCTCCAGCTGCTAATAAAACACATTACAATCTATAAACCGCAAAGTAAAGAGTGGTTGGAATATCTCCCTTCAAATCCGGCAATGGTCGGCCGGTCAACAATCCGGCAATGGTCGGCCGGTCAACAATCCGGCAATGGTCGGCCGGTCAACAATCCGGCAATGGTCGGCCGGTCAACAATCCGGCAATGGTCGGCCGGTCAACAATCCGGCAATGGTCGGCCGGTCAACAATCCGGCAATGGTCGGCCGGTCAACAATCCGGCAATGGTCGGCCGGTCAACAATCCGGCAATGGTCGGCCGGTCAACAATCCGGCAATGGTCGGCCGGTCAACAATCCGGCAATGGGCGGCCGGTCAACAATCCGGCAATGGGCGGCCGGTCAACAATCCGGCAATGGGCGGCCGGTCAACAATCCGGCAATGGTCGGCCGGTCAACAATCCGGCAATGGTCGGCCGGTCAACAATCCGGCAATGGGCGGCCGGTCAACAATCCGGCAATGGGCGGCCGGTCAACAATCCGGCAATGGGCGGCCGGTCAACAATCCGGCAATGGGCGGCCGGTCAACAATCCGGCAATGGGCGGCCGGTCAACAATCCGGCAATGGGCGGCCGGTCAACAATCCGGCAATGGGCGGCCGGTCAACAATCCGGCAATGGGCGGCCGGTCAACAATCCGGCAATGGTCGGCCGGTCAACAATCCGGCAATGGTCGGCCGGTCAACAATCCGGCAATGGTCGGCCGGTCAACAATCCGGCAACGGTCGGCCGGTCAACAATCCGGCAATGGTCGGCCGGTCAACAATCCGGCAATGGGCGGCCGGTCAACAATCCGGCAATGGGCGGCCGGTCAACAATCCGGCAATGGTCGGCCGGTCAACAATCCGGCAATGGTCGGCCGGTCAACAATCCGGCAATGGGCGGCCGGTCAACAATCCGGCAATGGGCGGCCGGTCAACAATCCGGCAATGGTCGGCCGGTCAACAATCCGGCAATGGTCGGCCGGTCAACAATCCGGCAATGGGCGGCCGGTCAACAATCCGGCAATGGTCGGCCGGTCAACAATCCGGCAATGGTCGGCCGGTCAACAATCCGGCAATGGGCGGCCGGTCAACAATCCGGCAATGGGCGGCCGGTCAACAATCCGGCAATGGTCGGCCGGTCAACAATCCGGCAATGGTCGGCCGGTCAACAATCCGGCAATGGTCGGCCGGTCAACAATCCGGCAATGGTCGGCCGGTCAACAATCCGGCAATGGGCGGCCGGTCAACAATCCGGCAATGGTCGGCCGGTCAACAATCCGGCAATGGTCGGCCGGTCAACAATCCGGCAATGGGCGGCCGGTCAACAATCCGGCAATGGGCGGCCGGTTAACAATCAACAAAGCAACAGATGACATACCAGTTCTCTGGTGACTGATCGATTCCGTATTGATTCACCCGTGTCAGAAGAGAGTGTCCTGCCGCCCAATACGCACGCCAGGCCGCGCTGCCGCTATACTCTTCGCTCAAGAGCTTTGCTGCCGCCACTATGAATTAAACATGACTGGCGGACGTATAATGAAGGCAGTAAGATCTTTTTGGGTACTGGCATGTCTGCGGAATCTTACCATTAATGAATAGCCGCGAGTATTATACACCAGGTATTACGTAAATACCAGCAGCATCGCTAATACTGCGAATTTACGAATGGGCAATGCTCAGTTTGTGCGTAAATGTCTGGCAGCACTGCACAAGAAGGAGATATACATGGAGTTTCTTCAGTAAGAAGAGCATTTTTGGTGGAAGTGTCGGTGTGAGCAAGAGTCCAGGTGATTAGAGCAGCAGACAGTCATTACCACGGCGCTGAAGACCTGTCAGTACCTTGTCCTAATGAGACCAAACCTGTGTAATTAATTCTCTAATATACTGCCACCAACACGCGACAAATGAAGACAGGACGGAAAGTGCTGGTCCACTTGCAGAATTTTCAGAATTCTTTCACGGAACCCAAAAAAAATATAAAAAATACCGTCTGCTACACTGTTTTAATCACCAATTACGAGAACTGCTTCTGACGCCCACCTCCCACCCCCACAGCCACTATCTACAAAGATATCTAGATATCAAAGATATCTACAAAGATATGTATCCTCACTGTGGGGCCACTGTGTGTCAATTTGTCACTCCTCAGCAGGCCAGACCTTCCAGTTGCTGGCATTATTATGTTTGTGTAACTAATTCACGCCATTTATGATGTGGTATAAGAACCAGACGTAACTATCCTACGCCAACAATTAACACTTAACAAGGCACTCACAAACAAACTAACAAGTATTTAATAACCTTGTTATTCCTGGGAAAACCAGAAATGATGATAATTCTCGGTAACAAAATTTGGTTTACAAATTATTTCGTTAGAATTGTAAAGGAGCTGAAGGTTGCTACCGGCGGAGGTGGTAGAGCCTCGGGGCCTGGTGCTCGTACAGGCAACTGGTGGCCAGGCACCAGGAGCACTGGTGGCCGGGCACCAGGAGCACTGGTGGCCGGGCACCAGGAGCACTGGAGGCCGGGCACCAGGAGCACTGGTGGCCGGGCACCAGGAGCACTGGTGGCCGGGCACCAGGAGCACTGGTGGCCGGGCACCAGGAGCACTGGAGGCCGGGCACCAGGAGCACTGGTGGCCGGGCACCAGGAGCACTGGAGGCCGGGCACCAGGAGCACTGGTGGCCGGGCACCAGGAGCACTGGAGGCCGGGCACCAGGAGCACTGGTGGCCGGGCACCAGGAGCACTGGAGGCCGGGCACCAGGAGCACTGGAGGCCGGGCACCAGGAGCACTGGAGGCCGGGCACCAGGAGCACTGGTGGCCGGGCACCAGGAGCACTGGTGGCCGGGCACCAGGAGCACTGGAGGCCGGGCACCAGGAGCACTGGTGGCCGGGCACCAGGAGCACTGGAGGCCGGGCACCAGGAGCACTGGTGGCCGGGCACTGGAGCACTGGTGGCCGAGCACTGGAGGCCGGGCTCTAGGAGCACTGGTGGCCGGGCACTGGAGCACTGGTGGCCGGGCACTGGAGCACTGGTGGCCGGGCACCAGGAGCACTGGAGGCCGGGCACCAGGAGCACTGGTGGCCGGGCACCAGGAGCACTGGTGGCCGGGCACTGGAGGCCGGGCTCTAGGAGCACTGGTGGCCGGGCACTGGAGCACTGGTGGCCGGGCACTGGAGCACTGGTGGCCGGGCACCAGGAGCACTGGAGGCCGGGCACCAGGAGCACTGGTGGCCGGGCACCAGGAGCACTGGTGGCCGGGCACCAGGAGCACTGGAGGCCGGGCACCAGGAGCACTGGTGGCCGGGCACTGGAGCACTGGTGGCCGGGCACCAGGAGCACTGGTGGCCGGGCACCAGGAGCACTGGTGGCCGGGCACCAGGAGCACTGGTGGCCGGGCACCAGGAGCACTGGAGGCCGGGCACCAGGAGCACTGGTGGCCGGGCACCAGGAGCACTAGAGCCCCGCGCACTAAGAGCACTGGTGAACAACACAAGACCAAAAAAAAGCAACAAACGAATAAAGAAACTTGAGAAGTACTACAAGGAAAACTGGCCTAGAAGGATCTGGAACTTAGGGGGAGGGAGGGAGGGAGAGGGGGGCCATCTTCACATACCAAAGGGTTGGATCTCAATGAACTCTTGACCAATCAAAACCTGCCCTCGTATGACTCGCTCTTTACAATTGGCTCCCTTTGTGGTACTTAAATACAGCCAGCGGCCACCAGTACTAACACCGGTCTTTGCAAATACACAAAGATTTTCATTCCACACAACCAGGTATCTTTCAGTACCAGGGAAGTGGGCTAAGCAAATACTAGCATCTATACAGCCTCTTATGAGGCCAAGGAACGCTATACGAAGACTTCCTATTAGCGAGGTTGCGTTACGTGAATTCAAAAGCATCCAATACCACTCTTTTGCGGCCTGAATTACACCGGTATTTTTATTGTGTTTTGAATACCATTCAATAAGGGGTGATTGCCAGCTGAATTGTGCCAGGATTTTTATACTCCATGTCAATACCACTTGGTACTGTGGGGCCAACCAGCGGTACCCTTTGTGAATACCTCTACCGAGCCTGAACAACCACGGGGATTGAGCTCTCTCATTCTTAGCCTGATCAAGATCTTCCTTGCTTGTGGTCTATTATAATCTCTCCCTGCATAAGCTGTGACAGGACTGAGTGATTAATTAATGTATATAGCACCCCAGCTGTCACCCAGAGCACCAGCACACCCAGCTGTCACCCAGAGCACCAGCACACCCCAGCTGTCACCCAGAGCACCAGCACACCCCAGCTGTCACCCAGAGCACCAGCACACCCCAGCAGACACCACCACCACACCCCAGCAGTCACCACCACCACACCCCAGCAGTCACCACCACCACACCCCAGCAGTCACCACCACCACACCCCAGCAGTCACCACCACCACCACACCCCAGCAGTCACCACCACCACCACACCCCAGCAGACACCACTACCACACCCCAGCAGTCACCACCACCACCACACCCCAGCAGTCACCACCACCACCACACCCCAGCAGACACCACCACCACACCCCAGCAGTCACCACCACCACCACACCCCAGCAGACACCACCACCACCACACCCCAGCAGACACCACCACCACACCCCAGCAGACACCACCACCACCACACCCCAGCAGTCACCACCACCACACCCCAGCAGTCACCACCACCACACCCCAGCAGTCACCACCACCACCACACCCCAGCAGACACCACCACCACCACACCCCAGCAGACACCACCACACCAGGTGTAGGGTGCCCCCCCCCCCCCCGGCAGCTCTCACACACAAACAAAACACTCAACCCCCCCCCCCCCTCCCCCTCCTCTTCACTCCCACCTGGCCGTGTTCAACACCACATCCCTTGTTGTTCTAGGTTTAGATTCAGCTACTTGGAACAAAAGCTCCAAGTAGCACGGGCTATGGTGAGCCCGGGGTGGACATGCTCACCACATCCCTCGTCACTCTCCTCGCTACTAAGTAATATTCCTCATGGAATATTACTATCTATAATAAATACCTTTGTTCTTTATTCCCAGTTCCAAGAACTGGCCAACATCTGTCCGCTCCTGACAACAACAGTCAACTGTCTCCACAAACACACAGATAAATCGACTTGAGAATGGTCCAGGACGGACCGAAACGTCGTCGTCCCTTCACTTTCTAGTGTGTGGTCTGGTCAACATACAGATAAATCGACTTGAGAATGGTCCAAAACGGACCGAAACGTCGTCGTCCCTTCACCTTCTAGTGTGTGGTCTGGTCAACACACAGATAAATCGACTTGAGAATGGTCCAGGACGGACCGAAACGTCGTCGTCCCTTCACTTTCTAGTGTGTGGTCTGGTCAACATACAGATAAATCGACTTGAGAATGGTCCAAAACGGACCGAAACGTCGTCGTCCCTTCACTTTCTAGTGTGTGGTCTGGTCAACATACAGATAAATCGACTTGAGAATGGTCCAAAACGGACCGAAACGTCGTCGTCCCTTCACTTTCTAGTGTGTGGTCTAGTCAACACACAGATAAATATATGACTATCCTCATGCGTGAACTGGATACCAATGTTTTTTTTTTCAATTTGTATTCACACCTGTATGCTGTTGGACACGTGTAATTTCTTAGTGGCGGAAACTATTCAGTTGTATAATTCTAGACACGTGTTCTGTTCGTCGTACGTTGATGCCTCAAATAAATAGTTTATAAATAAACAATATCAAACTTTGTTATTGTTATATAGCTTTTAAATATAGCTGTAAAACACCTGGCATGATATTCAGATTTTGAACCAAACCCAGTAAGCGCAGACATCTCACTTCAGCATTCTGAGAAGCATCTGGGCCATGTCATCAATGGTCATCAACACACACACACACACACACACACACACACACACACACACACACACACACACACACACACACACACACACACACACACACACACATACATACAGGTGGAAACTGAGTACCCACATGAGCCACAGAGACGTTAGAAGGAACTTTTTCAGTGTCAGAGTAGTTAACGGATGGAATGTATTAGGCAGTGATGTGGTGGAGGCTGACTCTATACAATTTCAAATGTAGATATGGTAGAGCCCAGTAGGCTCAGGAATCTGTACACCTGTTGATTGACGGTTGAGAGGCGGGACCAAAGAGCCAGAGCTCAACCCCCGCAAACACAACTCGGCGAGTACAACTAGGTGAGTACACACACACACACACAACCCCCCCCCCACACACACACACACCTCATCTCAGGTCCTCACCTACACCCTAAAAAGCCATTCGCACACGAATATAAGACTTAGAGAGCACCGCACCAGACATATTGGGCCATACTAGACAGGTCCCGTTAAGCCCATCCCTCACCCCCATATCCCTATCCAACCTATTCTTGAAAACCGGTTTAACAGGTTGTGTCACTATGTCTAGCTGGCAGCCATTCCGCTCACCCATAAACCAAGCCAATACTTCCCTTTGTCTCTTCTACAACGATATTTATCCAGAATACACTATTTTTGTCCAGACTTAGCACTGACCACTGTCTTTGCAAGGATATATCAACATTATTAACAAAATACAACGTAAGAATAAGTGTGTAAAATGGTGTATCAGGTCTACAGGAGGGACTAAAATAACTTGTCAACACAAAAAACAGCATTATCCCTAAATGAATTTTTAAATATAACTAACCGGGAGTTTGTTCTATAACTATAAGGATATAGAGAATATAACTCAGGGAGCCGGTGGCTGAGCGGACAGAACACTGGACGCGTGATCCTGTGGTCCCGGGTTCCATCACGGGCGCCGGCGAGAAACAATGGGCAGTTTCTTTCACCCTGATGCCGTGTTACCTAGCAGTAAATAGGTACCTGGGTGTTAGTCAGCTGTCACGGGCTGCTTCCTGGGGGTGGAGGCCTGGTCGAGGACCGGGCCGCGGGGACACTAAAGCCCCGAAATCATCTCAAGATAACCTCAAAAAGATAACCAATTACCGCCAAAAAGACATGGCTTACTAATAAGCAGCCAAAATCCTCTTAAAAAAAAAAACTTATGATGGTATCCTGTTCATATGGTGTTCAACTTCTTGGTGTTGAACACCTACACCAGATCAGAACTGTACTCGTCTATTCAATAAAGGAGTTGTTATGTTGAACCAAAACTTGAACAAATCCACAAAGGCCGTGATGAGGGTTCGGCCCTTGTGGATTTGTTCAATTGATGCATCAGGCTATTGTGATTTCTGTGTGAACCAAACTTGGTTTGGTATTTGGCTTATCAACCTCTGGAGGTTGAAAACCCTGACAGGGTGGCGGGCAAACCCCAATTAATCTGTGGTTTGGCAGGAATTAACTCCCACAATTAATCTGTGGGAGGCAGGAATCTGCCTCCTTATTAATCCCATGGAGGGGTCATTATGGCTGCCACAATAGCTTACTGACCAACCAGCCTTTGACCTAGAGCACCAGGGAGCGTCTGGGACTCTAGACTGTCTAAGACTAAATTATACTATATATAATTATATAGTCTATATACACCGAGAAGCGGATTACATCTCTGGGTTTACATCCTTGCACCAACCTTCACCTTTCTTGTGCCTAAAACGGGTTTTACGTATGAAATACTGCAGCTCCAAATAAATATATATATTACAAATGATCTATAAATTGTCAGTGCAACATAAGCACTAACACAGGGCCTCAGATTTGCACACCGAGATAACTCCACGCGAAAACACGAGGCATGGCAGGATGTGCAAAATATCCCCCAATCAAAAGCCGAGAAGCACTGGTACGTTCAGAGAGAACTATCAACATCAAGGGCCCAAGACTTTTCAACACTCCCTCTACTGGCATATGTCTCACGGTGTGAGAGAACTTGATAAACACCTCCAAAGGACACTATTAACCTGGCTGTGATCCATACGTCAGACTGCATCCAACAGCCTGGTTGACCAGACCACCAATTCGGAGGTCTGGACAGAGACCGGGCCGCTCGGGCGTTGATCTCTGAAACCAAAACCAGGTAGGTATCAACAGGTAGAGGCAGGCCAGAGGCATGCCAGAGACAGGCCAGAGACAGGCCCGAAGCAGGCCAGAGGCAGGTCAGAGTCACGCCAGAGGCAGGTCAGAGTCACGCCAGAGGCAGGTCAGAGTCACGCCAGAGACAGGCCAGAAACAGGCCCGAAGCAGGCCAGAGGCAGGTCAGAGTCACGCCAGAGGCAGGTCAGAGTCACGCCAGAGGCAGGCCAGAGGAAGGCCAGAGGCAGGCCAGAGGCAGGTCAGAGTCACGCCAGAGGCAGGCCAGAGGCAGGTCAGAGTCACGCCAGAGGCAGGCCAGAGGAAGGCCAGAGGCAGGCCAGAGGCAGGCCAGAGGCAGGCCAGAGGCAGGCCAGAGGCAGGCCAGAGGAAGGCCAGAGGCAGGCCAGAGGAAGGCCAGAGGCAGGCCAGAGCTATGCGCAGTAAGGGAAGTAGGCAAGTTACTGGGACGATTATACCGTGGGTGATGGGCGAAGGGTCTTGAAAGCCGTAATTTCGTGTGTGTGGGAGAAGGCGCCAGAGCCCTGGTGGAGGACGGGAAGAGACCGGCCCTAACACCTGACCCTCGCACATGCGCCCCTAACAACCCTACACTTACATATCTTGCGCACACTACAACGCGTGAACACCCGCGCACCAACACAGAGCGCCAGGGACCCTAGAGCGCCTGGGACCCTAGAGCGCCAGGGACCCTAGAGCGCCTGGGACCCTAGAGCGCCTGGGACCCAGAGCACCAGGGACCGGCCAAGCAGAACAGATTAGAGGCTAAGGCTCATATTGACCAAGATGGCGGCCTGTGCCTCCACGCGACTTTTCCCTATTGCTAAACAACATCCGCGCGCGCACGCGCGCGCGCACACACACACACACACACACACACACACACACACACACACACACACACACACACACACACACACACACACACACACACACACACACACACACAAAGATTAAGCAAGAAAGAGAAGGATGGGCGGACTGAATTTTTTTGGACTGTCGGAAAGCCTTTGACACAGTACCCCATAAAAGGCTGATGCATAAGCTGGAGAAACAGGCAGAAGTAACTGGTAGGGCGCTCCAGTGGATAAGGGAGTACCTAAACAATAGGAAGCAGAGAGTTACAGTGAGGGGTGAGACCTCACATTGGCGTGAAGTCACCAGTGGAGTCCCACAGGGCTCTGTGTTTGGACCTATCCTGTTTCTGATATACGTAAATGATCTCCCAGAGGGTATAGACGCATTCCTCTCAATGTTTGCTGACGACGCCAAAATTATGAGAAGGATTAAGACAGAGGAGGACAGCTTGAGGCTTCAAGAAAACCTGGACAAGCTGCAGGAATGGTCGAACAAATGGTTGTTTAGAGTTTAACCCAAGCAAATGTAATGCAATGAAGAAAGGTGTAGGGAGCAGAAGACCAGATACAAGGTATCATTTGGGAGATGAAATACTTCAAGAGTCAGAAAGAGAAAGACCTGGGGGTTGATATCACGCCAGACCTGTCCCCTGAAGCCCATATCAAGAGGATAACATCAGCGGCATATGTCAGGTTGGGTAACATAAGAACGGCCTTCAAAAACTTGTGTAAAGAATCTTTCAGAACATGTATAACACATGTGTCAGACCAATCCTGGAGTATGCGGCTCCAGTATGGAGTCCATATCTAGTCAAGCATAAGACTAAACTGGAAAAGGTTCAAAGGTTTGCCACCAGACTAGTACTTGAACTGAGGGGTATGAGCTACGAGGAGAGACTAGGGGAATTAAACCTTCCGTCACTGGGAGACAGGAGAGTTAGAGGGGACATGATCACCACATACAAGATTCTCAGAGGAATTGATAGGGTAGATAAAGACAGACTATTTAACACAAGGGGCACACGCACTAGGGGGACACAGGTGGAAATTGAGTGCCCAAATGAGCCAGAGACACGTTAGAAAGAATTTTTTAAGTGACAGTAGTAGACAAATGGAATACATTAGGCAGTAATGTGGTGGAGGCTGACTCCATACACAGCTTCAAGTGTAGATATGATAGAGCCCAGTAGGCTCAGGAACCTACCTTGAGGCTACCTTGAGGTGCTTCCGGGGCTTAGTGTCCCCGCGGCCCGGTCGTCGACCAGGCCTCCTGGTTGCTGGACTGATCAACCAGGCTGTTAGACGCGGCTGCTCGCAGCCTGACGTATGAGTCACAGCCTGGTTGATCAGGTATCCTATACATTAGTTGACTGACAGTTGAGAGGCGGGACCAAAGAGCTAGAGCCCAACTAGGTGAGTACACCGGACATGCCGGCATTACCTCTCTGCCTCACCATCTTCTGGCCTCCTCCACTATAACACTGCACCGCAGTACTTACGCTCTCGGAATAGTGAGCATCGACTTCGGAAAACTAGAAAGGGAGTGGGGGGGGGGTTCGAACCATGCCCACAACCACCGGCGTTCGAACCACGCCAAGGAGGGGGAGGGGGGGGGGGGCGTGGTTCGAACGCTTCCGGCTAGGCAAGACCCTCCATTTACCGCGGGTAAAATCCTCAGACGAGCGAGCCGGCTGCCTCTAGTTCGTGAGGGTCAGTTTCTTCGGCCTGTTGGTCAGTGTGTTCACACTGGTGTGTGTCGCTTGTTACAGTGTTCCCATCACGTGATGTGTCGAGACACGTGTTCCCATCACGTGATGTGTGGAGACACGTGTTCCCATCACGTGATGTGTGGAGACACGTGTTCCCATCACGTGATGTGTGGAGACACGTGTTCCCATCACGTGATGTGTGGAGACACGTGTTCCCATCACGTGATGTGTGGAGACACGTGTTCCCATCACGTGATGTGTGGAGACACGTGTTCCCATCACGTGATGTGTGGAGACACGTGTTCCCATCACGTGATGTGTGGAGACACGTGTTCCCATCACGTGATGTGGAGACACGTGTTCCCATCACGTGATGTGGAGACACATGTTCCCATCATGCGGCGTTTGTAAGACTTGAGGGATACTCGAGTATACCTCGGATATACGGAGGTTCAGGTGTCACCTGGGGGTCCATATGTACCATAGACATGTCAGTCACACATAACACCCCGGGGGTGGGGGGGGGGGTCGACACAACACCCTGGGTCTATCTATTTAACTGGCGCCTTAGAGGGGCTGCCTGCTGCTTGGGTAACAGCTTCTCCTCCATATCAACCTACCCTGGCTCCCCAGGAAGTACACATGACCACGGGGTGGACACAAAAACACAAACATCGTGCTATTATCCAGGACACACAACCCGCCATGGGTGAGGAAGTTAAGTAGCGTCCACTGTATACCTTCTGCCACAGGGGTACCCTCTTGCCACAGGGTACCTGGAGTTGGGTACACGCTGGTATGACTACTCGTTAGGTCACAAGTGTGAGGGAGGCAAGATGGTCGTTCTTGCCCCTGGCCGGCTTGGGGGAAGGCAGCTTTATGGGCCGAGAGGTACTCGCTGGCGTCATTGTACTCCCTCAGCCCCTAAGGTGAGACACATTAATTATCGGCGCGTACAGTAGAGTGCACATGACAGCGTCCGGCCCCACACACACACACACACACACACACACACACACACACACACACACACACACACACACACACACACACTAGGTGAGTACACACACACACACACACACACACACACACACACACACACACACACACACACACACACACACACACACACACACACACACACACACACACGACCAAAGAGCCAACGCTTGACCCCCCCCCCACAAAGCACAATAAAGCAAGCACAGGGGGACACAACTTTACAACACATGTGTTTACTGCACGTTACCGACTTCGTGGGAGCCATCTTGAGAGTTACAAGCCTGAGACGCTTGCCACTAGAGGTGGTGGAGGCGAGATGGGCAGGCAGAACACACGCAGAGGCAAGAGGAAGGAAGAGCAGGCATCTCTACTATTTCCAGGTACTGACCCACTGTACCTGGGCAATGTGCTCACCTGCCCAGAGGCGTCTCCGTGCCCACTGTCTCCGTGCCCACTGTCCCCGTGCCCACTGTCTCCGTGCCCACTGTCCCCGTGCCCACTGTCTCCGTGCCCACTGTCTCCGTGCCCACACTCACCCTGGTTGTAGTATCTTTTCAGAATAGGTCAATACAAAATAACATGAAATATTCCCGCGTGTGTGTATAATCTTCGGACCTGAAAAGTGATGTTTTAAGAAAATCTTCCAAATACAGTTCTTGGCAAAGATCACAATTGCCTGGGGGACACTGAATGGTCTAATTCCAGTGGTTTCCAACCTGTGGTCCGCGGACCACCTGGAGGGTCCAGAGAGGCAGTACTGGGGGTCCACGGACCCCTGGAGGGTCCACAGAGGCAGTACTGGGGGTCCAGGGACCCCTGGAGGGTCCACAGAGGCAGTACTGGGGGTCCACCGACCCCTGGAGGCTCCACAGAGGCAGTACTGGGGGTCCAGAGGCAGTACTGGGGGTCCACGGACCCCTGGAGGGTCCACAGAGGCAGTACTGGGGGTCCACAGAGGCAGTACTGGGGGTCCACAGAGGCAGTACTGGGGGTCCACAGAGGAAGTACTGGGGGTCCACGGACCCCTGGAGGCTCCACAGAGGCAGTACTGGGGGTCCACAGAGGCAGTACTGGGGGTCCACGGACCCCTGGAGGCTCCACAGAGGCAGTACTGGGGGTCCACAGAGGCAGTACTGGGGGTTCACAGAGGCAGTACTGGGGGTTCACAGAGGCAGTACTGGGGGTTCACAGAGGCAGTACTGGGGGGTCCACAGAGGCAGTACTGGGGGGTCCACAGAGGCAGTACTGGGGGGTCCACAGAGGCAGTACTGGGGGGTCCACAGAGGCAGTACTGGGGGGTCCACAGAGGCAGTACTTGGGGTCCACAGAGGCAGTACTGGGGGTCCACAGAGGCAGTACTGGGGGTTCACGGACCCCTAGAGGCTCCACAGAGGCAGTACTGGGGATCCACGGACCCCTGGAGGCCCCACAGAGGCAATACTGGGGGTCCACGGACCCCTGGAGGCCCCACAGAGGCAGTACTGGGGGTTCACGGACCCCTGGAGGCTCCACAGAGGCAGTACTGGGGGTCCACAGAGGCAGTACTGGGGGTCCACAGAGGCAGTACTGGGGGTCCTCGGACCCCTGGAGGCCCCTCAGAAGCAGTACTGGGGGTCCATGAACCCCTGTAGGCCCCACAGAGGCAGTACTGGGGGTCCATGGACCCCTGGAGGCCCCTCAGAAGCAGTACTGGGGGTCCATGGACCCCTGTAGGCCCCACAGAGGCAGTACTGGGGGTCCATGAACCCCTGGAGGCCCCTCAGAAGCAGTACTGGGGGTCCATGGACCCCTGGAGGCCCCTCAGAAGCAGTACTGGGGGTCCATGGACCCCTGGAGGCCCTACAGAGGCAGTACTGGGGGTCCACGGACCCCTGGAGGCCCCACAGAGGCAGTACTGGGGGTCCACGGACCCCTGGAGGCCCCACAGAGGCAGTACTGGGGGTCCACGGACCCCTGGAGGCCCTACAGAGGCAGTACTGGGGGTCCATGGACCCCTGGAGGCCCTACAGAGGCAGTACTGGGGGTCCTCGGACCCCTGGAGGCCCCTCAGAAGCAGTACTGGGGGTCCATGGACCCCTGTAGGCCCCACAGAGGCAGTACTGGGGGTCCATGGACCCCTGGAGGCCCCTCAGAAGCAGTACTGGGGGTCCATGGACCCCTGTAGGCCCCACAGAGGCAGTACTGGGGGTCCATGGACCCCTGGAGGCCCCTCAGAAGCAGTACTGGGGGCCCATGGACCCCTGGAGGCCCCACAGAGGCAGTACTGGGGGTCCATGGACCCCTGGAGGCCCCTCAGAAGCAGTACTGGGGGTCCACGGACCCCTGGAGGCCCCACAGAGGCAGTACTGGGGGTCCACGGACCCCTGGAGGCCCCACAGAGGCAGTACTGGGGGTCCACGGACCCCTGGAGGCCCCACAGAGGCAGTACTGGGGGTCCACGGACCCCTGGAGGCCCCACAGAGGCAGTACTGGGGGTCCACGGACCCCTGGAGGCCCCACAGAGGCAGTACTGGGGGTCCGCAAGCTAAATTCGACATTCCAAGAGGCTCAGAATATAAATATATAATTGTTCACTATAAGGCAACGTCTTCGTTAGTGTTGGCTGCGTTATCAAGGCAAGTGTGGCAACACTGGATGGTTATATCATGTTATCACAAGCTGGTTGTTAGTTGTTGATGATATCATAGGAACAAAAATTGGGTTGTGATTGCCAGGCCAGAACCTTTAGCTGTGAACGATAGCTTGCTGTGCGAGTGTTACATTGTGGAAAAGCTATCGAGAACTGACTATATATTATCTACTGATGGAATTCTTTTGGGAGAAGATTTACCATTATTTTTCAAATATAAGCGTATTTAAAAAAAATGGTGTTTAGATATCGGTAACGTAACAGTCATACAACAGTAAAAGATATACAAGTTTTGTGTATGTAACCCATTACACATCCCCCCCCCCCACCTGAGTATGACACGTGTGTGAGGCGGGTCGGGAACGGTATATACACGTCCAGTACCGGACCGGCGTGCAGTTACAGCCCCACTCCTGTGCCAGGTGAGTTCACTACGGGCTCACCATAGCCCGTGCTACTTGCAACTTTTTGTTCCTAGAAGCTGAATCTTAAACAACAACAACAACTGGCGTGATTACGGGATATTCATGCCCGTGCCACCTTCTGCTTGGCTTAATTTTAATCAATCAATCAGATTGACGTGAGAAGAGGTCATGTGGTGGAACTGTTCTGACACATCCAAGCGACTGGTACCGTGCACAGGATGTGTGTGTTCTGTACGCTTCCTCAAAGTTTATATTTAACTGGCGCCGTAGAGAGGCTGCTGCATGGGTAACAGCTTTTCCCTCCATATCGATCTACCCTGGCTTTGCGCCCCTGGAGAGGCCACTCCAGACCGACAACCAGAGCGCATCTCCATAGTCTCCTGAGACTGATGGATGCCTACTACTATTAGCTACGTTTGTGACAGGGAATTCAGGGTGTATATCTGATAACTTCATCTCTTAATAATTATACATTGGTGGCTAAAAACGAGAAACCCCGTCGAACAAAACTAGTGATAACACAGGGGGAGGGTAAAGTCCAGGTGAAGGGAACTATCAGGGGAAAACACCAAGCCATTACGACCATATAGCACTGGCAAGGGGTCAGGATATGGATTTGGGATGGGAAGGGGGGGGAAGGAATGGTGCCCAACCACCTGGATAGTCGGGGATTGAACGCCGACCTGCATGAAGCGAGACCGTCGCTCTACCGTCCAGTCCAAGTAGTTGGGAGTGAAACATGCTCAAATAAACACCGACTACAGACAAAACGCAAATACCGTAAATATTGTGATCAATATATAACCTTTTTCAAATGTGAAAACGGACACTATGCTATTACCTCACCGCCCCCCCCCCCTCCCCAACCCCCAACCCCTCCCATTACACTCCCCCCCCCTCCACCCTCCACCATCACCACTCGCGGTAGTTCACATGTTTTCTTGGAAACTGAGTGCCCAAATGAGCCACAGAGATATTAGAAAGAACTTTTTTAGTGACAGAGTGGTTGACAAATGGAATGCATTAGGCAGTGATGTGGTGGAGGCTGACTCCATACACAGTTTCAAATGTAGATATGATAGAGCCCAGTAGGCTCAGGAACCTGTACACCAGTTGATTGACAGTTGAGAGGCGGGACCAAAGAACCAGAGCTCAACCCCCGCAAGCACAACTAGGTGAGTACACACACACACACAAGAACTAACAATGCCATCTGTCAAAATAATTTCCAGTTGTTGTTGTTGTTTAAGATTCGCTCCCTGGAACACAAAGGTCCAAGTAGCACGGGCTATGGCGAGCCCATCAATTTCCAGTCGAACGTATGGAGTTAAAGCCGGAAAAGAAATCAAATATTTCATTTTCAGACGCCACTGTGAGGCGTCGACCAGGAGACATATTTAGTACATTAGACGATACTATTTTCTTCACAGTTAGGTGAAAGAACCTTCTTTTTCCCCCTAACTGTTTTGATTAGCTTCCATTCATACGGTGTAAATTTGGTGGCCAAATTTGTGGAGATTCTGTTTTACCAATCATTGCCAATATACACATTACCAGTATGTCTATTTTGAATAGTTTAACTTAATAACGAATAGACTTGACTTAATAGTTAGTTAATAGTTAATTAGACTTAATAAGTGAATAGACTTAATAACGACAAATTAAATTAGGTGGTTAATATACAGTATTGACGGGCTCCCGTAACGTCTGGATTTTGTTTTTATGGGATATGGATTTTTTTGTTGCCTGATGTTGATTTTTATTGTTGGTGAATTTGGATTTTTTTGTGTGGATTTTGATTTTTTGGGGGTTGGCGTATTTGGATTTTTTTTAATGGCGGATTTGGAATTTTTCATTGGCGGATTTGGATATATTTTTACGGATTTGGATTTTTTGTTGGCGGATTTGGAATGTTTTTGTTGGGTTTTACTTTTGTGGTTGGTGGATTTGAAATATTTTTTTGGGGGGGAGTGTATGTTGTGCGGGGACTCTGAGAGTCAGGTTCAAAGAACAATTTTAGGGATTATATTCATTTTCCTGATGACAATAACACGTGAATCTGGGATTCATTTCATACGGAGATGGAGAAGATCTCGTTGAACTTTCGTTTGACGCCCTCACTGAGGTTAAGTTTCACTGATGTCAAGTTTCACCGAGGTCAAGTTTCACTGAGGTCAAATTTCATCGAGGTCAAGTTTCACTGAGGTCAAG